TAGAATTAATCTAAGGGACAAGAGCATGTGTGAGAATAGAAATAGGATCAGCAATCCACAAAATCTGGTCTTTGTCCAATTTAAATGGAAGATAAGTTAAATTCTTAAAAGGGAGGATATTTTCATTTTAGTTTTGCATCTTGAGTGCAAAGTAGTACATGAGGAGAGATATACACTTCTGATTAAGTAGAACTCTAGCTGTAGAACAAAATCAGTTTTTTACTGGGCATACTCAATAGTAAGGGATATACTTCAAGATGAGCACTGTTAGAGACTACATAATTACTCTGTGGCTCTGTGCTCTTTAAATTTTAAAATTATGGTAATTATCACATTTAAAATACATTTTATAAGTTTTAATATTAAAAATACAATTGAAATACAAGTGAAAATTATATTGAAACACATGAAAATAGGCTGCACTCACTAATTTAATTACTTTCTGATCTTCCTTTAAAAGTCCTAAGCTATTTGGTTTTCCTGTCTTTCCCATGAGTCACTTTCCTTTTGCTTTATTGAATAGATTGCTTTGGATATTGGTTTTTCCAATATTAAGCTTTTGAAATACCATTCATTTCTTCCATCTTGTCATTCCTAATTATAACCACGATATATCAAACTAAGGGACACTCTTTAATTACAGTATTAATACCTCAAACATTTGTTGTGCAGCAAGGGGTTCAGACAGTAATTTGCTATTAAATTAATCCTGGTATTAGAGGTAGGAATGGTGTTCTCTGATTGAACTGACCAGTCTTAATAACCTCAGTAAAATATTTATTTTAAAATTGTCGATTTCAAGTCGACTCAGAGACACCTTTTGAACAGTGCTTTCCCTGCAGTGCAGTTAGTGACTGGTTCTGTCCTGGTCACAAGGATCATAAAGGTGGCACTGGGTATTCTGCCATTTGGGTGTTGCTGTTCCTTTGCACACAGAGACTTGGAGCTACTTTTAGTGGCATTCTCTGTGCATATGTGGTGCTTTAAAACACATTTTATTACATGAGAGGTCTTTTAGCCAAATGTTTAGTTCCAGCAGCTGTAAATGGTATCACTTTACTGTTTTAGCAGCCTGCTTGTGGGACATTAAGAGCACTATCATTTTACTTTGAGTCCCTGTTCAAGTTTGACCATTAAGAAATAGTATCAAATAATGAAAGAGATGAGATCCTATTACAGCTTAATAATAGTGGAACAAACAAGCAAATGAAAACAAGTAAATAACTTTCTTTCTACAGGACTCCACTTAAATTAAACATAAAGACTTATTATACTGTGGTGTGATACTTAGAAGCTAGTGATAGTCTGAATGCCCCAAAGATACATTACCAGGATCTGGGTAATGAGTACCCAGGATCTAGGTAGCATTTTGAGTTGACAGGAATTAACAGCTTTTGTGAACTGGGAGGGTCAGCTGATGACAGAAAACCTAACCACAGAACACACATTAAAACTTTCTAATATTTGATCTAAATAGGAAAGATTCATCCAGATACATGTAACAGTCTGAGTCTGCAAACCTATGGATTTCATTTGCTCCTAGTTGGAGTTGTAAGATTTGGGAAATCCTTCTGTTACAGCTGCCTGAGAAGTACTTTGATATGTAGTTATGCAAGTCTAACAAAAATGAGGATCTCTGCACTGTCTTTACTTCTTAAAATTAAACAAAGGAAATGCTTCTACTTGAAATAGAGGAATTGCTTCTTGTAAATCCAAGCATTGGGGATTGAAATCCTAGACCCTTAGAGCAAAGAAAGTGTAAGAAATGTTAAGAAGCATAACAAAGTTTCTACAAAGTCAGTATTTTGTATCCAATTGTGAGTCATTCAGTACTTAAAAGTTATGTAATACTGTCAATTATTAATACAAATCCAGGGGGAATTTTAAGGCCTTTCATCAGAATTTTAAAACCATGATACCCTTAAAATTAATTCCCTAAGGAAATATGAACCTAAATAATGATGTATCTGCTACTGACCTCTGAGAAAATATACAAACTCCAGTTAAATTGCATCTGGAATGATTTTTCACACCAAAAGGATCAAAAAGATGAAAGATGGACTTTGTAGAAGGACAGAAAGGTTTCTTAATTTGAGTATTGCAAGGCCATTGCATGGTGGCTGTGGCAGCTCTTCTGTGCTCTGCCCAGGGCCCCTTGCTCCAGGGCAGCACTGCAGCTTCTCTCTGCCAGACTTGTGGAGGGAAAGGCTGCCCACAGCTGAGCCTTCACACCAAGGAAGTCACTTTTCCACAGACTAGTGCAGCAAGGAACTTCTTAGCTAACTCAGCAAGACAGCAGTTAAGTCTCTGCTTTTAGTAGTTAATGCTAGAAGTTGCTGTGGGTGTTTTTTCCAGTTTCTGCACTGTTCTTTGTTTTTGTGATTTGATTTGATACCTTTAAAAACTTTATATATTTGACCTCTACTGTTTGTCTTAAATGCAGCTCTGTAGTCTGAGACCCCTACTCCTTCACTCCTGGTTTATCCAGATACTGTTTGTTATTTAAGGTATTTAAAAATAGGAGCTGAAATATAAGGCAAACTGCTAGCAATGGAAGTCAAGAGTTTATAATAATTTCAATCATGTGAAAGAAAGATTCATACTTTGTTTGAAGAAGTTATGTCCAAGTCTTTCCCCTATAAAATAGTCTTTCCATATAACTCTTTAAACTGAAACCTTTTATTTCCTGTCCCATCACATATTTCTTTAAATTATGTTTCAGGAAAGATTTTTTTGCTCCCAAGGTGAGAGCAATTCGAAATGGTATGTTTGATAAAAATACCGTTGGGACTGAGTCTGAGGCTGCCACTCGACTTATTTCCTTTTCCTTTTGAGTTTTACCTCATTTCATGGTTTGTGGACTTCTTTGCCTTCCATTCAGTCTTGCCTATGGGGGCACCAGGATCAGAAATGTCATTATGGTTTATTATTATTTTCATCACCATGGGAGGTGGTGGACTCACCTTCCCTGGAGGTGTTTATGAAAAGACAGCATGTGGCACTTAGTGCCATGGTTTAGTTGACGAGATGGTGTTTGGTCATAGGTTTCAGTTGATGATCTCAAAGGTCTTTTCCAACCTACTTAATTCTGTTACTATTATTATTATTAAGATTTGTCTTTTCCCTTCAGCTCTCCCTTTCAGAGAGGTGTAGAATTAGACTTGGCAGTCTGTCAGCAGTGATGTACCAGACTGCATTTTCCTGTCTGTAGCTGGGGCTGTGAGTTGGCTCAGATTCAGAGTCCAGCAGTTGCTGCTGTGTGAGTGAGTGGTGCCCAGGTCTCAGCCTTTTGCTGCCCCTCATGGATGCTCTTCCAGAGGGTGCATTGTGTGCTGTTGTTGGGCATCCCTGGCACAGGGGCTGCTGCCTCTCCTCCGTCAGAGGAGAGCACTTTCTCTTTTTGAAATGAGCTCTTGTCTTGCTGGGTGTCTGCTCAGGTGATTTTCCTAAAGTGTGCCATGATTGAGCAAGCCTAGAGCAGGACCTGCTGAGGCAATGCTGAGGTCGGATTAACAAAACTCCTGAGATTGGGCAAGGAGCTTATTTAAAATATGGTCTTGCCTTCTGTCTGATGAAGCTGCTTTTATAGTCCTACTCCTTCTGTTTGTTGTTGTGATTGTTTAGATCATGTTCCTTAGCCCCTAGATGAGTGATATCTGAGATGCTGAATTTATCTTCTTCTCTCTCAAGTGATAGAAAATTACTTGCTCAAAAGAACGAAGAGTAGTGATCTTGAAGGATTTTATTTCCACGTTAAGCACCTTTGCTGTAGATCAGAGAATTTGTAAAACCAAAATCAATCTGTGTGTTTAATTTCAGTTTATCGTTAGAATGTTCTCACTCAGCTGGAAACTCCCAAGCTGGAGGAACAGACCTCCACTGTTTAAAGCCTGCTTGCCCTTTCATATATTAATACTTAATGTTTTTGCTCCTGTGTGAGCTCCAAAGTCAATTCAAGTCTTCTTAGTAAAAGCAGTTTTTGTCCAATATGAGCAAAAGCTCATGATTGTCAGTGTGAAGTGTTCTTTCTGAAGTGTCAACAAAATGTATCTTGGCACAGAGGCCAGGTTATTGAAAGCTGACGCTTCACAAGAGGCCATGGTAGAGGTGAAAGGTGCCTCAAGTGGGATGTCAGGACTGTGGGGAGCAGAGGCAGGGGGGTAAGAAAATTCAGTGTCAGGGAAAGGACATGTAGGAATCTTTCAGCAGGGAGGCCTAGTGAGGAGGAGGAAGAATCACTTGTATCTCAGTTTTCCCCCTTCTCTTCTGCATTATCCCCTACTACCTGTTGTCTTGCTAGTATATTCTTCCTATTATCCTGCACCTTGCAGGAACAGCAAGTCAGGGTCTCCTCATGGGGCTGGAAACTGAGGGGCAAAGCTACTCCTGCTGCTGGGGGATGATCAGGCAACAAACCCTGGGAATAGGTTTTGTTTTCATTCTGCCACTAAGGTGTTGGGAGCAGGGCAGCGATGTCAAATTGAGGGTGAGGCAAAGACACTTGGACAGCAAATTATCCTTTCAGCTGTTCCTGACAGCTGCTTGCTCTGTCCGTGGGATGGCTTTGCAGGACAGGATTCTGATATATTGCATTTTGTTTGTACCAAACCAGGGATAATCTGCTAATTATAATTATCTTTGGAAATTCTCTGACTCCTCAACAAGAAGATTTAAGATAGAAAAGGTAATGCTTAATCTGATCCCATGCATTCTGTCCATTCAGGGGCAGGAGTTTTGGGGAGATGGAGAGATTTCAAAACCTGGGACTGGAATCTGAAAGGCTCCAAGTATCCCAGGGCTGAATGCCCTCAATTCCCATCAGTTGCAAGTTATGCTGTAATATGAGTTAATGGATTATGAGCAGAGAGTAGTGGGTTTCAGCTGTTAGTCTGAGCTTCTGCACATACCCTGTACAGGAAGGGTTGTACTGGAGAGAAAGGAGATCTGTACGGCTAGAGAAAAAATTTCAAGGAGGGAATCCTTGATTTTTTTTTTTTTAGATTGTGTTGTGTTTCTATGGATGAAGCAGCACTTTGCATGAGGTGGTGAAGCACTTTACTTGGCGAGGAAGATGAAGCATGAAGCTTCTTTATTGCCTCCCATGTTGAGACATAAGAAGAGGAAAATATATGTGTGAGAAGAGAGAATAAGGTAAGGGTCTTTGTGCAATGACTGTTTTATCCTTCAGGGTATGGGGCTGGAGTCAACTTCTGCTGTGTTTGTCTCATGCTACAGCAGGGAGACTGTCTCCTTTGCCTCTTCGTTAGCAGCAGAACTACAGAGGGCAGGAGGAAGCACAAAGGCTTTTGTCTTTGCCTTTTTTTTCTTTTTTTTTTCTTTTTTTTTAAATTTATGTTCCATAGTAAGTTTTGAGTCAGAGCTTTCTCTGACTCCAAACTTACAATTGAAAATAAATTCCATTAGAATCTGAGACTCCAAACTGGCAAGTCAAGTAGCATCCTATTACTAAAGAATAACCATTTCTTGAGCATTAAGATGCTATTCAGCTGTTCTTTTGTCTCTATGGCAACTTTAAGAAGTAACAACAAAGCAGTAGGTGATGTTGTCAGCCAAAAATCTGTAACGTTCAAGAGATTGTTGATAGCAACAAAACTCATGCCAGTGCAGGGTCACTTAAAGCCAGTAATTGATACTGCAACTATGGCTGAAGTAGAATAGCATTTTGAAGCAGAAAATACACCAGAAAAAGTAAGGTTGCAACTGGCAGTTTTTATAAATTATACATGAGGTCCTGCTTTAAAATTCAAAACTGTGGTTTACCATCTCTAATGGAATGAATTGCATGAAAAGTGAAGAGCTCCTTGTGTGTACAATATATGCCACCTGGAGAGCAGCTCAAGCTTTCTTCTCAGTTTCTTGATGGAAAAGAGAATGTGAGCCACTTTAGAAAAGTGGAGTCAGTTCCTAAAGGTGATAAAAGTTGAAGTTCTCATCTAACTTCAGCATTGATCTGAAAAAGGAAGCGTGTTAAAGAAAGAAAAGGGAATGATTTTCTTAAAAATAATAAAATAAAAAGGAGTTGAGGTGGGATTATGTCAGTTTTTGATCTTAATCTCATGGTGTCAGGGATTTGGAAGTTTTACTGAGATGTATAATTGAAAAAAAATCAGAGGGAAAAAGCCATGAGAAATCAGACTGAACATTGCTGAGACTAGTGCTGGAAACCAGCTAGGAGAGAAAAATTTTTAAAGGATGATTGATGCTAAAGCAGGGAGAATAGGAATTACAGTAGGTTTTATGTAGAGACATGCTAAATAAGGAAACCCATTCTTAAGAAAAAGTAGTGACAGATGTGTTAAGCTAATGAAAATAAAACTCTATTATTTTGAGTAATTTTTGTCTGATATTTGACAAATCTATATGAACTGCTGGTACTGGATGTACTGTGGGAATTCTGCCTCTTAATCTGTATGTATGCATGCAGTCAATGCAGTGTGCACCAATACACCTTTTACAATCTTGAATTAGCTGAATTTGAGTGCCACTTTCTCCAGTTTAAGTATCATGTTAGTGCCCTGTATTTTGTAAAATCTCACCTCATTTATTGAATGGGGTTCCCCATTGTTTGAACTGTCTGTTATCAAAGAAGGCTTTTCTCCTCCATAAGAAAGATGGAGAATGGAAAATGCAACCAGTTGGTCTCCAGAGCTTACTTGGCAGCATCAAGCAAACCCTATTTTGATGCAGGCAAAAGGAACAACTTCATTCACTTAAAACATTACATGATACCATCTGATGTCTCTCTTAGACTTCAGAAAACTGAACAGATACATGGCCCTGGATTACTATGGCTCAAGTTACACCTGCTTCAGCCCTGCTTAAATGGAGATAACATTAGTGGATTTTATTTAATTTGTTGTATTCCAATAATTTAGCCTACTTACTCTAGGAAACACATCCAACTCTTGCTTAATGCTTGTTATTTGCTTATTTGCTGTTGATTGATTATTTTCGTCTCAGATATGAAAGCTTTCTGAGCAGTTTTGTGGGTCTCAAAGTGTATAAATAAACCCAAAGCATGAATTTAATTCAAAGTAACAGAGTTTTTGAAGATCCCAGTTATTTAGACTTTCTTAACACTCTTAATGAAACTGAAATTCTAACCTACAACATCATCAGCCTTTCAAATGTCAACATGTTGTGTGACAAAACTTAAGCTGAGCTCTTACAGCCTGTATTCGTGGTTTTTTTGCTTATAGCTTCTTCTACTGTGCAGTTTGGGACCAGATCAGCTTAAGGGAGCAGTGCAGCAACTGTTGTGGTTAACATGGGAACATTTCAAAAGAGAGCACTGTTACAAGCTATTTATTACTTGGTGCTAACAGCTCCCTAATGGTCTTGTGAAAAGTTCAGTATTAGTTTGAATGAACTAATGAAATTTTTGTCTCATTTATTTTCCCCTATATATATATTTTTTAAATTTATACAAATATGTATCCTTCAAAAGATGGACCACTTAAGAAAGCTGTCTTTGTAGTCAGCACTGTGGCTCTGTACATGGGATCTCTTCCAGATCAGGGCTTGAACTTTGTGTGAAGCTGCAGTGATGAAAAGTGGAATAGTTTACGGGTGCAGGCTCCCAGGACAGCAGGTCACTATGGGTGGGGGTGGACCTTCAAGGCAAGGTCTCCTGCTTTGCTGTGAGAACCAAGTGTGGGACATGGTGCTGAGGGAGATACCAGTGACATGGGGAAGAGTAAGGCACCCTGAATATTCTACCAGTTCTACTGTCATCACATCACTGTGATGTCAGGCACTAAGAAAACTGTTGAGCTTTTCTTTACTTTTAATCTACTCATTCATTTTTCTTATACATTCAACTATATGTAAAGCAGTACAAGATGAGATAATGGTGGGAATCTTTTTAAGAGTGAAATCAACTTGGGTTAATGTTCTTGATGAGATTAATTTATATGGGTCACTGCCACCGGGTGTCTGTAGTTGCAGGGCACTCAATGGAATGAACTTTTTGAAAATGAGAGACAGGATAACAGTAGCTCCTGAGACTGACAGGCTCCTTTAACAAAATGGTTGTAATGCAGGTACTGGAGGTTTTTCTCTACCCATTTGCTCTCCTGAGAAGGACAGTTATGTCTGTAAAGGTGCTAAATGTATGTCTGTCATAGGAACTAAAGGCCACCAGGTAACTTCAGCCTGGCATCAAACTGAGCAGTGCCTGCTTAAGTCAGTACCCACTCAGAATTCGCTTGATTCTATGAAGTCAAATCTGCTGACTCAATCAGTGAAATTTTATATCCCATTTTATCCCTCTTCCCTTTGCTTGACTCTTTTGGAAAGCATTTCCCTTTTGACATATTGTATGTGTTAAACCTCACCAATTCTGTAAGCTGTTCAATCTACAAGCAAAGCTATTATTGTCCTAAATTCCAGCCCTATAAACGCTTCTGAAAGTTGCATATATTTTTTTTCTGTGATTTATCGCCAGTGACAATTTTCTTTGCAAGCCAAATACATATTTCTACTTTTGTAACTATCGGTTTTCCAGCATAAGCAAAACATGGAGCAGTGGGATTCCAGATGTTCAGGGAAAAGTGTTTGATATTTCTATATTGTTACCATTATTAGACAGAACAGTTCTTTCTTGCTGTTGAAGAATGATCCTTGAAATGCCTAAGCAGTTGTTATAATTTCATCAATTATTCTGCATCATTAACAGCTATCATCTTTCTAATTATTTTCCTCTATATTTTCTTTTAAGTAATTAAAGTTCCAGACTATGAGCAAGATCTTGATACTTGTCGTTATATTCTATCTACTCTGCAAATATGATATAATCTTCCTAACCATTCCTTTAACTGTGACATATATTAGGGATTTTTGTAGCTTCTCCTCAATAGATCTGTTAAAAGATATGTGTTTTGGGAGGGTTTTTTGAGATACATGCTTGTATGGAAAACACACCAAATTCCCTGCAGCCAGTCTTTTTATTTCTCTTCTCTGCCAGCATTTCATTTACCTGTACTTCTTTTCCCATTGTTCTGAGTGCTATTTATAATAAAGTGATTTTCAAATAAAGTGGTGTTTGACTGACATTGTAGATTTGAGGTAGAATTCTTGTTTGATTTCATGTAGATGGATTGGATGACTTGAGATTATCTAGCCTTGCTTTTCATGATTCGATGAGCAGATTTTAATCAAAATGCTTTGATAAATGTAGGAATGATAGCTGAAAGTTGCCATCACTCTAGAAAGAGTAAATATAAGTTCTTGGATAGATGTCTTCGTGTGCTGCCATTGTCACAAATCCTAATGTCCCTAAATGAAAGCTCCTTCTGCTTTTTGCTGATTCAGCTCACAGTGCTTTGCATGCAAGCTGATAGTTACAGTGGATGTAAGGGACATGGCATCTAGCAGCTGTGCTCAGGGTGTTTTACCATGAACTTTCCTAGGAATGCATTATGGAACATTAGCATTTAAAATGAGATACAACTGATATTTAGGAATAAAATTGTAAATCTCGTATTTACTGCAAAGATAAGCAATGCTGCTTTTGACTATGACGCACATTTGTTCTTAATATGAAAATAAAAGTGCTGCATGAACAAAAGCTCCCAGTTCCATTACAGCTGTGGAACTTTCCATTTCATGTGCAGTGGTAGCATGACCCTGTACAAATTGCTTTGACAAAAATAGTATTTATATAAAGTGGAATATTCCACTTGCATAGAGGGAATCTTAGCAACCTTCTTTTCCCAGAATTTGCAACTGCTCCTATATTCAGAACTACTAAATTTTTCAATTGTCAACAACCAGATTTTACAGAAGCGTAAAAAGTTTTTCTGCTTTATTTCTCCACAGGAATAGGTACATAATTCCAGAATGACACTGTTAGTGTTTGTATTGTCTTCTGCACTTCAAGTGAAAAAGACTGCAAGTACCATCAGAAAATAAAAATGCAAATTTGAAACAGAAATAAGTGTTCTTGTTTCTTAAGCTAGAGCATTTTTCTGTTCTATACAGAGAAATATAGAGCTATTTCTATCTATTTCTATGTTATACTGTTAAGCTTTTGACAACTCTGTGGTGGAAGGACCAACTTTTTTGCTGTAAAATGGACCCAATAAAGCATTGCATTGGGGTTCTCACTGATGTTAGCTGGTAACATATGC